TGGAAACATGAAAGGTGGTGATGTATAAAGTCTCCAAACCAGCCTTAACTTTGTGCTAAGTTGGCTCAAATTTTGAGTAGTTTCCTCTGAGCACAAACCTAAGTGTTCTGTGTCTAATGATTTGAGAACCACTTGAGTTAAAGAGAAATGGCGGGTCAACCAGCTAACTCCGAAGTCGCACCTCATGGTTAGTACCCAAAGTGGACTACCCTCCAGTCGTGTTCAGGCACTATGATTATTGTGATGACCGTAAAACGCACACACCGTCGTTACATATATTAGTCAGAGTAAGTACAAGGGATAAGTTGTGACCACAGCCGCATAGGTCAGTCCATGACGTGCGATTAGTTGGTGCGCGTCGGTCATTTCGACCTTAATGATAATCGGTAAACCGTCCAATATTCAGTGACCAGGCTGACAGACGATTCGAAAGGGCCGTGACAATTCATTGGCCCTACATGTGTACTGGTACGGTTAAGCATACTTACATGGATACTGAACATATTGATGCCATTAGCGGTATCATAGGAGAATCATCAGCACTATTCGTCTTGACTCATAGCAATTTAATTGTCATGGTAATTCGAAATCTGATGACTATTTTTCACTGCCATCTGACTGAGGTTAGGGAGCTTGAGATCTCATGGCTGTCAAGGCAGATATTCACCAATTCTAGAACGAACATATTAATCACGGTGTACATTACTCTACTAAGATCCAAACTGAAAAACTGCGTACAAGCCGCGTTTTCATGTCCAAAGCTTGGCTTGGATACGGAGAAAAGAGTGCACAGAACAACTATCTGAACAGTACTGGAACTTTAAGACTTTTCAGTCTTCAGCCTTCAGTAATAAGGATAGTAGGTTGATGAACCTGTGTCAATCCTGACACATTGCTTTCCAGTGAAGGTCCAGCTTTTCCTTGAAAGTATTCACTGATGGGGCTGGTACCACTTGTTCCGGTAAGGCGTTCCAATGATTGACTACTCGATGAGAAAAACGGGATCCCACTTTAAGTTTATTAGATCGCGGTTTATGAACCTTTTTGCCATGACCTCGGAGATTATTAGTGCTGGAGGGGGCAAAAAGATAAGACATATTAACACTCGAATCATAATTAAAGATACGAAATGCCAGTATAAGGTCACCTCGTGTCCTATGATACGGCAAGGGGAAAAGATCTAGGCGTTTTAAACGCTCATCGTAAGGGAGTCTAGAAAGACCCTTCACTCATTTCGTTCCCACACGCTGGACACGCTCAAGGGAATTAGTATTCTTTACCAGACGTGGGCTAGCTGCTTGGATACATTACTCTAAATGTGGTCTTATATAGGTAGGATATAAAATTCGAAACATTTCCTCGTCAAAAGACTTGAACACTCGGCGACGTGACCATAACGCATGAAAACCTTCGACAGCGGCTGCGCTGCTATGCGTAGTTGTTTTAAAGTCATGACTTATTATTACTCTCAAGTCTTTATGCCCTTGAACGCATGGAGGAAGTTTACCATCAATAGTATAATGGCAACTATTACCGTGACCGATATGCATTAGCACACTCTTCTTGGAATTAATTTCTAAGCCCCAACATCGAGCCCATCCAACTAAATCGTCTAAGTCAGCTTGAAGATCCAGCTGATCAGCCTCACTTTATATTGTTCTCCAGATTTTTACGTCATCCGTAAACAATAATGTCGACGACCTATGCAACAGCGGTAACTCACTGACGTAGAAAAGGAAGAGCAGAGGGCCTCAGATGGTCCCTTGGGGTACACCACTTTTGGCCGGCTTCCAATCGGAAAACGTCCCATTGACCCTCACTCTCTGTCTGCGGTCACATAAGAAAATGCCTATCCACTCCTGTACAGTACCTATTATTCCGAAGCTCGTGAGCTCCTGCATAAGACCTAAGTGTGAAACCTTGTCAAATGCTTTGTTAAAATCTATGAATATCACATCGACAGACAGACCTTTATCCATGGCTGCTCTGCAATCCTCTCTCGCAATAAGTAAGTTAGTCAAGCATGAACGCCTGTTATGAAATCCACCTTGCTCAGGAGCTAACAGACTGTGTGAATCTATGTGGCTTAGCAACCCAACCCGAATTATCTTTTCAAGTAACGTAACGACAATGCTAGTTAGACTGACAGGCCGGTAGTTAGATACTATCTGTCACTGACCGTCCTTAAATATAGGACTAACTATAGCGTCCTTCCAATCTCTAGGGAGTTGAGCGAGTGAGAGGGACATGTTGAAGAGTGTCGCGAGCGGTTTTGAAATAATGTCCACAAGAGATGACAGCAACCGTGGATGCAGCCCGTCAGGGCCCGGTATCTTACCAGGTTTGAATTTAGGTATCAACGGAAGGACAGTTTCCTCAGTCACCTGTACAGATTCAACGGTTGGTATCTCGGTGTGAGTGGGACAAGTATTTGTTACAATAAACGTAGAGAAGACTTCGCTAAAATAGTTTGAAAAAGTCTCAGCTTTTGCCCGATCTGATTCAGCTAGTAATTCTAAATTTTCGTGTAACAGTAACGGGGGAATACCATCACTACGTTTCATTCGCCGTTTAACATACGAAAACAATCATTTCGGACAAGTACGGCTATCATATACTAACTGTCGTTCGTAAGTCGTACGGTATTTGGCTATGGTTTTCTTACAGATATTACGGTATTTTTGGTACTCATGCTTAAATGGTGCATGACCTGTCAACAAGAATAAGTCCCAGAAGTGTTTCCTACGCTTTAACAGCTTCCGGGTTTCCTTATTAATCCATGGAGGGCAATGTGATAGCTCACGTATTGACCATGGGGTAAACGGTGATGTTACGGACTCGAATGTAGCCTTAAACTTATTCCATTCATCTTCGATCAATCCATCCGCGTCGACCGACCAATCAGTCGAGATAGCACAGTTTCTGATTTCCGGAATATTAGCTCGCCAGATATTGGGACGGGGTGGAGCAGAGACAAATCGTACACCATGTGTCCTAAACTTAAAGTGAATTACAACGTGATCACTGTTCACTAGTGGAGGAAGGTGCTGGATATCAAAGACATCCTCAGAGTGGTGGGTGAGGGTGAGGTCACGCAGTGACGGATCATGTTGCAAATCAATATGTGTCGGTTTTGTGATACATTGTAGATAAAAGGTTGCTATCGAAACCACTACCTGGAGCTGTAAGCTCTATCCAGTTGATATGCGGTGCGTTGAAGTCTCCAATGATGAGACAACATTCTGCCATACTCCAAGAACAGATGTGTCTTAGCAAGACGGACTACAGTATATTCCCCCTATAGTCACTAACCCATTTCTAGATCTAATCTTACAACATGAAACCTCACATGTGCCACTGATGTGAGCCTCCGATATGGTTGATTGTATACGAAAGTGATCCCTAACGTATAATATTATACCTCCCCCTTTGCGACTTGAAACTCTATCACTTCTAATACAGATATAGCCTGCAATGAACGGAGAACAGTCTATATCTACTGTGAACCAAGTTTCTGTAACAACGATTATATCGGGACATAATTCTTCCACCATCAGACTTAGCTCGGACGTTTTATTTCTAAGGTTACGAGCGTTCGTGTAGCACACACTTAAGGTGTTTTGGCAATCAATCGTTCTACCCATACAGGCCTCGGAAGCACTGGCTACCAAGACCTGACTACCCGAAAACCCTTAATGGTAAGGTTATTTTCGCCATTTAACTTGCGAGTCCTCAACTCCGTAAGAGCATTCTTCCACTTGATTCGATCCTCAAGCGGCCAACCTGGTCGAATATGGGTATTTGAGACACGAGTTTTTAGTGTGCTTCTCAATAATGTCTCTTTCTTCAAAACTCCCGAGAACCAGCTTCAGGATTCTTCTTGGTTGGGTCTCGCCTCCAACCCATTTACCAAGTCGTATTACTTTTGTATTATGTACCCCTGAAGCCTCTTCAGGCAGTACATTCCTTACCACGGACTCCACTAACTGCAGGTCATTTGCATGTCTTTTAGCAGGGTCGTTGTCTTTCGACTCCTCTAGATTCCAAATAACTAAACTAGGGAGGGGTTTAGCTTCTTTTGAAACTATGTTAACAGCTTTCGACCGTGACGTTAGATCCTGTATTTTAACTACTGGTATCTTACGATTAGTTTTTATTTTAACAGAGTCCTGGGAGTCAAGCGAATGACTCACAACAATGTGCACATCTTATGGAACCACTTATTACACTCATCACATTGCATCCCTTCATCCACGGGAAACAAGCAGTATGGTTGTCCACATTTATGAGTAGACCTAGCCATCTTAAAAATCAACTAGAACGGTGACAAAAACAGGATATGTAAAAGGATTTTCAAACCTTAACTAAATAAATCAAGTAAAAGTCGACCAAGTATGCTTCGATGCAATAAATACACAAAAGCAAAATCGAAAAACTCAATACAATATCACTTTAACTGGGGTAGGTGAAATTAAGGTGTAAACAGTAGTTTCGATGCGTAATTTACGATCAAAACAGTTAATTAACTCAATGAGAAAGAATACCACTGTCCTTCTAAATAGAGCGCGTGTCTTACACGGTTCAGCATGACAATTTAGGCTTCTTTACGCTGTCCCACAATAGGTTAATAAGCGCCATGATTTTGATGAGCAGGTTACTTGGAGATAATTTTCGGCCTAGTATTATCCCTCTTATTCAATGAGTGGCCAAGAACAACACATAGACTATAACCGGTTAGTTTGCAATCCAATAATGAACAGAACTTTCATGGCAACAGGTTTTTTTACAGATCGATCAACCCTAGTAACCCAATATTTCATAAAGTGGTGTCCACAACTTCAGTTGAATCATTCAGACACCCACAGTAGCATACCGGACAAAGCTTAGGGTAAACGTTTCGGGCTATTGTCTACAACGCACCATCCCAAATTCGGGTCTGAAAAATAGCATCATCAAGCTTTTACTAATACATTTAAAAGCAGATTGGATCGCGTGGTATCACTAATCTCGAATATAAGTAATGGATGAGTGGCTTTTTATCTTTTTCATCAAAAACAAGTTGCGGATAATGTGATGTGTTTTAATGCACTAATATCTTTTAAATTTACCTAGGTAAATAGCAACCAATTGATTATGAGTTGTCGGGCAATTATGACTTATCGCTTCTACTGACTCGTTGACTCAGTAGAAGCAGACTTTAGAGGCTTAAGACTTTCGTATTCACCTTAGATTTATTGTTAAACATCAGCTGATATCTATTTATAAGTCTTAGAATACATCTTCAGTTCTAGAGATGGACAAAACAATCTGGAAAGTTATTTTCACACTGTATGTCTTGGCTTCAGTGTCAGGGTACAGTTCAATGTCGGAAAAATTAGAAGGACTGTTGTCGTCGTTGGATAAACTTATTTATTACTATGAACAACATAGCAGTGAATTTAATTTTGATGGTATATTTGGCCTAATACCTTTACAAGGTAAGGAATCTTTTTATAAATCTTTCAGGAGCCCTTGAAAGTATTACTGATGAATCCCTGTATGAAAACTATGAAGAGGTCAGGTTTGCATTGTTACCAATGATGAGGAAACTTAAGATTCAAATTTCGAGGATAAACGTGATCATTAGGAAAAGTGTGAAACTCTTTGAAAAGAAAAGAGACCCCTACTTTATGAAAATGGGTCAACTTTTGGCACTGAAATGGACTTTTCCCAATCGGAACACCCTGTATTCTTTTTCATCGAATTCATTATTCATACCAAGCGTGCAAAATATTTCTAGTGATGATTGTATTATTCAGCTACTAAATGCCAAGCATTATGGGACCCTTGATTGTCATCTTTCAATGAAATGTATCCTAAAGCTCATGAACTTTCATTCTCATGGTTATGAACTGGCTCACCAAGTTCTATACATTCTAATTTCACATCAAGTAATTCCGCATTATATAATCTTATCTATAGGTCAATTGTACTGATTCCCTGGATGGTATGTTGTCAAATCTCTCGACCAGCGTGGAAGCCTTACAAAATAAACTGTGTTCAATTTTGTTTCGAGACTTTGTTAAATTGTTTCTGCGTGTGGAAATGATCCCTCAAAATCGAGATATTTTACTTGAAAAAAGTACGTTTTCGACCCTGATTTCATGCAAAACCTAATTGCATTATTTCTACAATCTTAGCAGTTAATCCTAGTAATCTTACCTTATCATGATGTTTGAGAAACAGTGAAATGCTGACGGTACTACTTGAGTCGGGCATTTTTTTTGAATTTTTGTCTGTTATAGATTTTCCAGAAGTAGATCCTATAGCATGGTAGTAATGCAGTAGCTCTCAAACTTGGTGAGCCTTGAATGCAATAAGAATAATAAAAATAAATGAATCTCTTAATGAGTGTGTATATTACACACTTTTTAACACGAGACACTGATTATGGCTGATAGACACATTTCTTCTGAAGGTTTTTCTGTAAGTGGTATTTGAAGCACACTTCCTATCAAATAGGAATCCTATTCCTTATACTAATAATACGTTTACTACTTGTCCAAAAATAATATACTGCAACGGGTTTTTGAAGAGTTTATAAAGATAACAAAAGTAAACGTTTTAACATGTACAGGAGAATTTTTTCATTTCTGGTCTTAAAACATCAAGATACTGCTTACTACGTTTTACGAAAGTAGTTTGTACTAGTGGTAACTTCAATAAAGTTTATAGTGTACGTAGGTTTGGATTAGTAGCCGTCTGAACATAACACCAGGTTTTATTTCCACTTATGAATCAGTTGATTCACACTGTTGTGCAGTTTTAGAGTTATTACATAACTATACAAACAAAGGTAACTAAAGCAAAGTTTGAATCCGCTATTCAACATCTGTGGATTTCTTATCCATGTCACTAGCCCACGGAGATATTTTATCAGTTAAAACCGTCATTAATCGGTTGCAGATGGAATTTTCATTCTTTCTTAATCCAGTTAACTATATTTTTCGCCTCATTTTCTATTTGTTTGATAAATTAAACCAATTAGACGTTCATTTAGAGAAATGGTTTCAACATGTAGGTCGAACAGAAATAGTAAGAATAAGAAAGCAGAAAAGTAAAACAACGTAAGAAATATGGAATTCATACGTAGTTAAGATTTTTTATAAGATGAAGCGTTACCACCAGTATTACTAACGTTACTTTCAAACTGCGTCAATCAAAGTTTCAGTCTTTTATTACCCCAGACGATATAGAAATAGCACCCGCAGTTATCCACACCATTTGTGGATTTAAGGATGATGTTCATATTTTGACCATAGACATTTTACCCACGAAACACTTTTAAATCTGATACTAAAGTGGTTGGCAGTTGGACACAATTGATGTGCAAATATAATTCAATCGCATTTCTTGGAAACATCAATTAACTCATTCTCATTTTCTAATAACGTGTCTTCTGACTTCTGAATAACTAACCTGATGGTCCTACAATATTTAAGTAGTAAAAAGCAATAACTCATCGGATGTATAAACCCTTATTCCAAACTTCATCTTCAACAGACACGTTTCATATTCAGGTTGTACACCTTTTGGATGAATAAACCTATTTCCTGGTAATAAATTAAGTGGATCTATCAGTGAAGGTTGATCAAATCTTCCACGTCCGAAGAACATTTTCATGTAAATTGCCTTCAATAAATGTAATATGAATAGTCCGCAATCTTAGGATACTCTGTTTACTAAAATTTTATGTAAATATATTTAATAAGTTGCATGTAACTGTAACTTTAGCGGAAAACTATGGATGATTGTAGTTGAGATATTGTGTTTAAACAAGTTTTGGCTGGAAACTTCAAATACTACTTATACTTAATCTTTCAAAATTTTAAATTATTAATGGATGTTTTATGTTTAATTGTACTTCTAGTGTTTGTGTGCGGAGGTCTTGGTTACGAAAATTTTATTCAGTTTTCTATTCTGAGCAGAATTTTGTCGTGGCAACAGCCTTCTGGATGTTTTATTTCTTCAGGTCCAGTAGGTGAAAAAAGCAAGCACAGAAATACTAAAATCATGTTTCACGAACGTCATCCCCTTGTTGAACGCAAACATGCAGGTGAAGTTGTAAAGTTTCGTATTTTCAGCATAAAGTATTTGTTCGCAGACACCTATTTTAAATTACTATTTTTGGGCTCTGTTCTTACCATTGACTTTCGTTGGTTCCGCTTTTTCGAGTCCAGTTTTTGAAAAATTTACATCAACATCCCAAACCGTTTAATTCCACCGTAAAATCAACATTTTCCCAAGTGTTAATTTTGAGCTCCCTAAAAGTTCACTTTGTGTACTTATGATTGTATTTTGAATGTTTCACTGTTATGCAAAACATGTAAGTATGATTCACTTTCTACCACTTAGGCCAATGTTATATATCTTGTTAAAGTGTTTATTGGGTTAAAGGTGATGGCATCTTTAAGTTTTTAAATAATTGCTTAATCCATTCTCCATATATTGTGTTTAAGCAGATGCGTAAAATCATACTTAGGTCAGTGTCTGGACCTGTATGTTGTTGTTCAGTTGCTTTGTTTTAATTTTAATGGATTGAAAGTGGTGAATAACTTTATATTATTACTGTACTTATTTACAAAAATGGTTACGGTTTAAGATTTTTTTACTAACACATCAAGCATCACAGTCGAATAGGTGGGTGAATTGTGATGAAGGGAGTTATTGATTACTTCTCAGATTATGAATTTACTCTCCTTTTCAGGCTAACTTCAGTGTTCGTTTGCAAATACTCATACAGAGGAAATAGCTACTTGTCTACTTCAGGCTTCATTTGAAAGCGTTTTTGTAAGGGCAACGTCTGGTTGACCGGATTCGAGAATAAGTAATTTCTTGATGATCGATCTTTATCTTACATTATTTGATGGTTTAATTACACTACATCGATACCCAGAAAAAATCCGTATCTAAATAGTACAAACTTACTCATATCACCTGTCTTATCGAGCCATATTTCAGATCAAATCATAGAAGAGTACACTTGTTTCTTAAATGACAGATAGTGAACTCGCCTGCGCTGCAGGTGGGTGGTAAGACATTTAAGACTATTAAGGTAACTAACACAATCAAATACTTTACTTCTCATTGCTAAACTGATTACTGATACCAATTAGTCCAGGATAGACGTTTTAAACTTGCATAGAGATGAGTCAGTCAGTCAATCAGTCACAACGTAGAAGTTCGTACGTACGTACATCAGTTTGAGTTGCCACATCACATTAGCGCAGAAATGCAGTTGTCGATTCAAATCCCGTATTGGTAGAAGTAGTAAAAGTATAAGCAGTAATCGGAAAGATTAGGGTTTGACGATGTTAGTCAAGGAGTATGATTCCGTGAAATAAATTCGGAAAGAGGAAAAAAGGGACATGAAGAATTCATAAGATTAGAATTTGGGAGAACACGAAAAGTGGATTCACCTGCGCCATTGCAAACGATTTTGATCCATGTCATTCAGTGTCTCTAACCATCGGTTACTATCATCTCGTGGTCCCAAACCTGGTAGTCTACACCTACCAACATGGCTCAGTCCAGTTGTAAGTGATTTCATGGACTAGTGCCGTGTTTTGGTCTGGCCGCCCCTAGCTTTCTTCCAACCTACTCCTACACCATGAAACATTGCTCGTCAAGGCGGTCGGTTGTTGGCCATACGTAACACATGTCCCAGCCATCTCAACTGATGAAGTTTCACTACTTCATCAATTGATTTGCCATCCTTACCTAGTACCCGTTTCCTAACAACTACATTACTTACTTGGTGGTCCCAGGATATACGAGCAATGCTTCGAAGACACCTATAATCGAATACTGGCAACCTACGAATATCACTGCCATAAAGTAGGACGGAACGAACAGCTGCGCAGTAAACACGTCCTTTGGTTGATAGACGGATATCTCGCCTACGCCATAAATGACGCAAGTTGGTAAAAGCTAGTCGAGCCTTCTGTATCCGTGCTGAGATTTCGTCACACACCAGACCACAAGGGCTGATGAGACTTCCAAGATAAGTGAAGCGATCGACACAATCAACTACTTCACTCCCTATCATTAGTTCGGGTGTCGATCCAACCCAATCCTGAAGCAACATTTTGCATTTCGAGGGGGAGAATCGCATCCCGAACATGCTTGCATTGTTGCTTATAGTAGTCAGAAGACTCCGCATTTTGTCAGCGTCTTCACCAAATAGGACTATGTCATCGGCATATTCTAGGTCAGAAAGTGAATCTGCCGGTAGAAGTTCAACTCCTGGAAATTTAGATGAGGAGAGTATTATCTCTAAAAGTACGTCAATGACAAAGTTGAACAAGAATGGAGAGAGTGGACAGCCCTGACGAACACCACTTGAGGTAATCAATTCTGATGACAGTTCGCCATAAGCTCTCACTCTACCAGTTGTGTTCGAGTAGAGAGCCTTTATAAGGTTAATGTACTTCTTTGGTACTCCTTTAAGTGGCAAACACTGCCATAGAACCTTACGATCAACAGAGTCGAATGCCGCTTCAAGATCGAGAAATACTACGATTGTGGGGTGTCTGAGTGTGTGTCTATGTTCTAGAACCTGACGTAGTGTGAATATCTGGTCTATACAACCACGTCCAGGTCGAAAACCGGCTTGGTTTTCTCTAGTCTGTTCTTCACGAGCTTTAGTTAGGCGTTGAAGTATTATTGAAGCTAATATTTTAGACACTATATTAGTCAAACTGATTCCTCTATGATTGTCACAAGAGGACTTGTGTCCTTTCTTATAGACTGGCACAATCAGTGATTGAGACCAGTCAGATGGGATTACGTCCAGTTCCCAAATTCTACCTAAGACCTCAGTTAATCTCACTGCTAATACTGAACCACCATCCTTAAAAATCTCAGGAGTGAACCTGTCAGGACCTGCTGCTCTCCCTCGCTTCAGATTTCCTATGGCTTTTTCAACTTCGTAAAGAATGGGAGGACCTACATTAACTTGTCATTCAGGTTGACTGGAGATCGTGGGAAACCGAAGTGTGGCTGAAGGTCAGTTGAACTGTTCCCTGAAGTGTTCTGTCCATCGATCCAATCTCCTGGATTGAGAATGTATAATATGTCCATATCTCTCTGAAATTGTTTCGCTAACAGTTGGGTTCCTAATACCGGTTTCCTTCACTAGTCTGAACAATTGTCTGCTATTACCTATCGCCGCTGCCTTTTCCATCTCTCTTGCTTTCGCTACCCACCACTGTTCACGATCATTGCGTAGACTTATTGTCAGCTTGCGCTTAAGCTGACTCCACTCTTCGTTATGTTCAGAGACAGATGGAATGAATTTTCTGAAATGTGCTTACACTGGGTTTTCAAATGTAGTTACACCAGTGACATTTAAAGCATTTACATGATACGCCTCAAATAAGTCATATAATCTGAAGAGAGCTGATACACTGAAAGAGTATCTTCAATGATATTAAATATAGAGTCTGTACTTGACATTAAAAATACATGTAATTTAGTTCGAAACTTTCTAAGTAACATTCAGTATGTCTTATCTCCTCATACTTCAAACAAAGCACATCGTGTTTACCATGCACTTTTAAAAAAGATGGTCTTATCATAAGATTAAGTCAAATATTTGTGGTACTGATAAAAGTCGAGTATCTACTGTTATTGCCTATTTTGATAACTATCTCTTATCAAGGAAAAGTAAAACTAATTAAAACACTCTATACTGACCATTACTGGAATAAAGTGTGTTCGACAAGTACATTTCATCATTCTCTTCTTATTTAATAAGTCAATTACTATTAAGACTACTATTTAATCTAAATATTTTATTCCAATTATTGGTACTGCGAAAAATGGTACCCGTCAAGTACATGTAATTTTCTTCTAAATATCTATTTTAACAATTAGCATTAGACTGAAGATAACAAAATTTATGCAAATACTAAATAGGAATAATTCTAGAATAGTATCTAGCTTTTCCTTCTTTCTTTTTTTTTTACCTAAAACTGACTTCAGTTTCAAATATTTCGATCTAGTATAGGGGTTGTGGAGATTATTAAGTTTTTGATTGAGATTATGAACCGATTGGTGTTTAAACGGTCATCTTTTTAGTTAAAAAGAATGTGTCATCGGTAGACTAATTAGATAAAAATAATATAGAATCAATAAATTTGAAGCGATAAGTTATTAGCAACAATTGAAAATGACTTTACAACAATATATTCACTTGATCTCACATAGTAGCATAATGATGGTGACATTGTGCTTCAGTATTTGTCAACCCAACGTAATCTATAAAAAAACAGTTTAGATTTATCATATTTATGTGGAAAATATATTTCCCCAGTGCATCACTAAGTATTATTGTATTAAATCCCAAGAATAATAACAGTTGATCAATCACTATTTTTTTAATAAACGGAATACACCAATTAAGACATTAAATAAGAAAGATTGGTTCAGTGAATTCATTTTCAAAACTGCACAATTGCAAATATATATACTTATTTTTACAGGATGATAGTAATACTGATAATATAAAGTTTTCTTTTCCACATCGGAATACCGGATGTTTATTTGAAGGAACTATTACTACGTTGCACTTGCAATGTACAGTTCACATTTAACAACGTAATTTATAGACAGAAGGATGGCATAGCAATGGGATCCCCACTTGGTCCATTACTAACAGATTGCTTCATGGCCAGTTTAGAAAACAACCAACTCAAAACGAGTTTAAGAAACCTCCATTTGTATAAAAGGTACGTAGATGATATCTTCATCATTTGTGACAATAAATATGACTTGAGGCATCTCTTAAAGACGTTTAATAACTGCTACCCAGTAATAAAATTTGCACTAGAAGTTGAAAGCAAACAAAATATTCACCTTCTTGATGTAGAAATGACAAGAAAGCAAGATGGTACTCTAGGAAGATCTATCTACAGGAAACCAATGTGGAATGGCAAACTACCAAGTTTCCACAGCTGGGTTCCCGTCAGTAGAAAAAGGAACTTAATAATAACACGCCACAAGAATATGAAGAATCTGTAATCCCGAAGTCATAGATGAAAAATTGGGCCTCTTAAAGGAGATACTTATCAAAAATGGGTATCCTTCGATATTCATTGATAAGAACACAAAACCGAAAACACAAATAATTACAGTGAAGAAGAAAACTTTATATTATCAGTATTATTATCATCCTGTAAAAATAAGTATATATATTTGCAATTGTACAGCTTTGAAAATGAATTAACCGAACCAATCTTTCTTGTTTTATCACTAATTGTTTTTTTCGTGGGTTAATTTCAATATAGTTTTATAAAGTAATCTAAGACAAACATCTGACATGTATGACCTCTGATTGGGGTCCTAGAGATGGTCCAACAGTTGTTTGAGACGTTCTCAGAAATAACTCAGAAGCCGGTGGCGTCCCCTCTCAGACCTTCTTTCACTTTCTTCATAAAAGTGAACATAACTTCTTTAAATAAAAGAATTATTCAAGGTTGTATTTTTCACAACTAAACTGCTTCTCCTATTATGGCTATTATTATTTCACTCTCACACACTAATTTCTGTTCCTTGTTGCTGTTCTTTTTACCATACTCACCCTCCATTCTCCGTTTTCTCACAACCTGATTTGTAATGTTTGATGCACACGTATTTGGTGCCGCCTTGTACCACTGTTTATATATTAAAATGATAAATAATAGTAATTGAACAGTTCGAAGCATATGCTAATATTGGTTACTAGTTAAGTAATATGATGGTTTTTGTACTTTGCAGTGTATTTTTAATAAATATCAAACTAGTCTCTCTACTTAGGAAACCCAGCTTGTTAACACTAGATAGATGTATTCCAAGTCTGACTAAGATGCATGATGGTGAACCTTCACTGATAATGATGTCTAAGGGAAAAGAGTAAAATGCTAAACTTTATACTCAAGGGTACTTATCTTACAGCTAAAGCTATCCTCTTTTTAAGATGAACATATCTGTTGGTATAGTGAAAGGTTAACAGGTGTACATCTCATGTATCGATTTACATGTATATAACACAGCAGTTGTGCTAATAGAACAAGAATAAGGGTTTACTTTGGACTGCCTGAACGAACCCTAAGAAGCCTGGGATTCTGAGGTATCTGACCAATATATGCAATCACATTAACATTCACTATTGATTAGCCTCCTTTCCATTATCACATTTTAAATGTCATATTTCATTTCAACGTCTGAGTTATATAAGTTGTAAGCAGCTGATGAAAACCTAGCCAAACGAGTCCCTGGTATTCTTTAAAAATTGCTACTCATGTTTTCGTCAATATAGTATGGCAAACTACTTATACGAGATCGAGTGACAGTCGATGAACCACTGTCTATTCAAGTAATCGCTTCACGATAATTCTTAATTCTTCTGGGACTGTTCATTTATCGGGTGCTCGGTGATCAAAGACCCCAGAGCTTTTCTTACTGATCTGCATATATGATTTTCGTTTAGCCTATTTTGATTGTAGAGGTCTGATAGTTTGAAGATGTGTATAGAGCCCTTCACATAGTTCCTGCAATTATTTATTATCTGTTATTCCCGTTGCTTCCTTCGTTATTATTGACTAGTCTTTTGAAACCATATCTTTCACCTGAATATTATTCCAGATGGTTGTCTATCACATATGACTTCTGTGGCTGCCGCTGTGATGGGTCTGTATTTGAGAGCGTTTTTCATCCCCACAGGGTACATGGATGGATATTCAACCGATTCAATGCCTGTTATATGGAAAGTGTTTTTGGTCAGATCATATACGTAAGCATATTAATATTGATTTTCGAGGAATTTATCATTTAGTTATACAGTGACGTTTTATTACTGTACAATGTTTAGTATTGGGAAAATAGTCGAAATTCTATATTGCAATTATAACTCAAACCCATTCATTTGTTTCCCAGTGAGGAAGATGATCTGCAGATCAAGCAAATTCGTTTGGTAGTACTGTGTTCCCGGACCTGGGTAATTTGATTGGGAAGGTTTGATAGTTGTAGTAGATAACGTTTTTAGGGTTTACCTCACACGGAAGCGGGCATTTTTCATTATTTCACAAACGTTTAATGAGTTTGTACTTATGGCTTTGTTTGCGATTGTACATCTGCAAAGGATATGCTACTTTTTTGCGTTTATTAATTGCCTATTGTTTTGAACACCGTTTCTGAACATTCTCTAGAAATTTTAGCATTTCCGCGACCAAGAAGTTCAACTTTTTTTCAAGCAAATTTATGCTAATGGTAATCTTGACCCTATGGTTTCATGTCATGTCCAATTAATGCAGTAAAACAGGAAACCAAATGAAGACAAGCGTGGTATCATCTATAAAATTAATAGCACTGATTGTGAGAAAAATTATATTGGATAAGGGGGAGACAACTAATAACAAACTGTAGCATAAGTACAAAGTCATTTAACATTTATGGAACTAGTGAAAAGCTCACTTCTGTAAGAAGTAGGGGTTGATGATATTGTCCAGGGAAACAGTGAAAGCTTTGAAGTTAAATCATTCAGCTCTTAGAACAAAACGGAAAACATGTTTTTCACTTATTTTTTCTGAATTAAATTTTCTAGATTTGAAAAATGTTTTAGATAAACGTAGTTTAGCTGACGTTAGCACTCATCTATTTGGAGGTATTTTTGAAATTTTCATCTGTTTTGTCAACAATACGATTAGCACTATTTTGAAGAGGAGACATAACCATGCAGAAATATAGCTTGACATAGTGCTAATCAATGATAATAATAATCCCAAAATATTCTTCGTTAAGACTATTTACATTTTATATTATCGAATAATTATTAAATAGCTGCGTATTTATTATAAACCAGTCGCATTCGACTTGTTGATACGGAGTATGGATAAAGAATATCATGTATATATAATACCATTTACAGCATCTTATGTTTGACTAAAGTTATAAGCATCCCTTCATTGAGCTGAAACAACTTAACCCTTCGAATTTAATTACAATTTAAAAAATGATAATTGATATTTTAATACGGATAGATCGTGGAGATTGTAGAATTTTCAGAGTTTTAAACTGATTTTAGCTAAACCACCATTGAAAATCTAAAATCACTAGACAGTAGTTTTGTCGTACTATGAGACTAAACGGCCGTCAAGTGGTTCCATGTTTTCAACGGTGTTCTATCTAAGATTAGTCCATGATTTATAACTGTGACAACTGACTTTTTTTTTGAACTTCTATTTTACTGTTATCGACCTAATATATTTCTGGCTTTTAGTTCACTTCCAAAACTGATAGAAGATGATGATAATCAAAGTGGAATTTCAAATCAAAATATATTAAACTCATTTTCAAATCGATTAATATATGTTAAAGGACCAATATATTTACCAACCCGGATCCCATTTAGTTTAAGTTATTCAACACATTTTCAAGGAAAACTAGACGAAATAAATTCAGATTTTTTATTTGTTAGTATTTTACTTTTATGTTCTATTTGTATTTTTCTCTATTTATTATTACGTAGTTTTATAGTCTACTGTGGGTTTTTCAACTCATCTAAACCAACTTTAAAAGTATAAATAACAGAAAAGAAACTGTACTCTATCATTTATCATTCATATTTCGTTCTTTTCAACTTACCATTCGGTCATTCTAAATAAAATTTTGTAAAAACGTTTAACTGTGATAAAAATTTATCTTTTAATAGAAAAAAATATTATAATTTTATTCTTAAAGTGTGAATTACTTTAACACACACACACACATTACAATTTACTATGAACTATGATAGCAAGTGTTATAGAATGAATCAGAAATATAACATAGTCAATCAATTATTTTTTGTCATGCGGCACAAATATAATGGCCACATAAAATATTCCATTAATTATTCAGTGATAAGTTACACTCAGTGACATACAAGTTCTTCACAGTTTGATTATAAGTTAATGTAGGATTTATAGGATGTAGGATATATATATATATATATATATATATATATATATATATATATATATATATATATATATATATATATAGTGTAAACAATTTCTGATTATTTAGAAGCTATCGGTTCATAAAATATCATTTTTTTATTTTGTCAAGTGTTATGCTATCGCACATTGGGCATGGATAAAAATTAACATGTCATATTCTTTTCGAAATGAACAGTCAAATGTACAGTTTATAGATAATTATTACAAATTAGTAAAAAGTGGAGGCTTTTTTTATCGGTTCACATGAATGTATGTGGTATTACTTACTTAATGCTATTAACTCTCGTGGATTATAAGCCACCGACTATCATAATCCCATCAACATTACCCTGGACTCTCATTTTCGACTATCGCCAATCACGTAGACAACTGTTTATAAATACCTGTAACATTTTGATGATGGTTGTAATAGTTCTTCAAATTTCAGCTTCGTAAAATAGAACTGTTTTGATGCTCGTACTAAAAAAGCTGTCCATTGTATTCCGCGCTCTCCTCAGATGTGAAGGCTTTTATAATCTGGTTGATCACCACAAGAAATAGAGAGAATGAAATGAAACAGAATTGTCTGACATCCATCTTCACTTACACTGTATTTATGAGCTATCCTTCATACACTACACTACAGTATAGTTCATACAATGAATTGCATATGTTGTTGATGATCTCCTCACATATATCATAATGTCGAGGAAGATTCTATAGTTATCTCCTATCCACGCTGTTAAATGCTTTCTCATAGTCAAGGACGTTGATGTATAGTGACGAGTTCCATTCAATCGATTGCTCAGCAATGATTTGTAGTGTCACAAATTGTTCTGTGCACGATCAATCCTTACAAAATCAAACCTATTGATCATGAATTTGTGCGTCTACTGAATCTTTCATCCAGTTCAACAACACTCCGTTGAAATCTTTTCCTGGTACTGACTGTAGTGTGATGCCTGTGTAGTTCTCACACTCGCTCATATCTCCTTTCATTGGTATGTTGATGAGTTGTCATTCTTTCCATTCTGCTCTATTTGTTCCTCCCTATTCTTGGTGAAGAGAACCTAAATCACCTTTGCATTTAATTCTATGCATAATTTCATTGATTCAGCTGTTATGTTGTCTGGTACTACCAACTATCCAAACTTGATCTGTCCGATGACAATGCTGGTTTCTTCGTTTGTTGATGGAGTGGCACCTATGAGAATGTCTGTGTATGTTGCTTCGATGTTGGTGTGTTCAGTGGAGCTGGTCTACTCAACAGTTTCGCAAAGTGTTCTACCCATCTGTTCGTCTGTTGTTGGATTTCAGTGATTGTCTTGACTTCTTTGTCATTCACTGGTCTCTCTGGTTCACTATATCTCCCTAATTTATTCTTCGTTGTGCCACATATTCCATTCACTTGCTCATTTTCCCACTGTCATTACTAGGTCTTCTACATATTCCTAATTGTCGGCTCTACTAATACTACTACTACTACCACTACTTACTCCTTACTCACTTGTTCGCTTCTGTATATTCTGTCTGTATTTTCGCATTTCCTGCTCTTGTTCAACCTTTGTTGATTGCTGTCTTCTTGTTTATTTGCTTTCTTATATATTCCTCAAGGTATCATTCGAGATCGATTCTGTATGATGATGCTACTTGCAACTCAACACCTCCTCGTATGTTGAAGTTATGGCTTTTCTTATCTCTTTCGAGTTTACTCCATGATAATTTACTCTTCTTCGTGTAGATCTTGTAATGCCTGGAAACTGTTGTTGAGAGCTATTCTGAATTCAATGAGTTTGTCAGTATTTTGAAGGAAGACTTCATTGAACTTCTGTAATACTGTTTCAACAGTTGTCCAGTGCCTCGATAACTTTGATTTCATCTTGGCAATCACCAGGTAGATTATGATGATGTGAAGCAAAGTGGTTGCTCCTCTCTTCGTTCTCATGTCTTCGACTGTCCTTTGAATTTTTTATTGATGCAAATGTGATCGACCTGGTTCTCTGTGATGCGATACACTGAGACCAATGTGATTTGTGTATGTGTTTGTGAGAGAATATAGTGCCACCTAAATCATTTTGTTAAAGACACATAGATCATCAAATCTGTCACCATCCACGTTCCTTTCTGACAGTCAGTCCATGTATTCCAAAGATATTTTCATACCCAATGTTGTTCATTTCGACCTTAGAACATCATGATGTGCAGGTGGTTTCCTATACACTTCTCGACGATCGCCTATAGCCTCTCATTAAACCGACCGTCGTCATGTTCATTGCTATAATTGGTTGGTGCATATGACTAGACAACATTCATCGTGATTCACTTGATCCGCGTTTTGAAGAATGATTTGCCGATTGTGAATCCATGAGATTTCGATGGTGTAAGTGCTTTCCATATTTCTCTGGACGCCATCAGTGCCACGCCCTGTGTGTGGTATTCATTTTCTTCCTTGAAACCAGAGTACAGAAGCATCTCTCCCGAATATCATATTGTCTGTCCAACTTGATTGCAATGAGTTTCACATGTTTCGGGCACGGCCCATTTGTATTGCCTCATTTTCGCATATATTTGACTGGTCGTCCCTTCTCACATATTGTTCGAACATTCCATGTGCTTATAATAATCGTTGTTCTGGTTATTAGAAGTGAAATCTGTGTTTTAAATTGCGAAGAACCTCGGCTTTCACCCTGAGGTCTTATAATTTTTCTTAATGAAGATCCTTCAACCTCCAGGATAGATTTCTAATGGTTTAAATGACTTTTTGGACTACTATTTTTGACAGAGTTTTGTTTTACGGGCTTGGGATACTGAGTCCATGCCAAATCATCCTCCTTTATTCGGACTTGTGACCTGCAGCAATCTTTCAAGAGTTTCAGATAGTTTTTTAACTGATATTTTTAAAAGTCACTTTAATGATCCTAAAAACTGTCCAAAAATAAATTGGCTGTGTCAAACATGTTCATTCCCTTTAATGGATACAAATGCTAATTGTGTTTATAAAAATGGTGAAATTCAGAATTTAACATAAGCGAAAATCATCATGTAAGATTTTGTTTTATTTCTGTAACGACGGACCACTGGTGAACTCGAGGAAGCTGTAAGAGGCTCAGAAGGAGCCGAAGACGTCTCATCTAATCACCTTTCGGAAGAATGTTCTAGAATTCCAACGTGTAGCTTCCCGATTGGATAGTGCTAATAACCCCCTGTATGCGGATTGGAAGACTGTAATGATGATTTCGTTCTCACTAAAAACTATAAATACTTGACAATTTTGTACTATAATTGACACTGTTTGGAATAATATTCCTTTCGTTAGTCTTCTGTCTTCTTACTGCGACTTGGAAGGGTTTTGGTGTTCTAGTGCTCAGTTATTCGCGGTATATCGAAAAATCAGCTTTTTCAAGATATAACAATTTCAAAGACATTATCTCAAGTTTATATTATTTATAAAACGAAATTTATCAAAGAGTTCCTTCTAGAACTGTTCATCTACCAGCCTATAACCTCTAGATTTCAAATAAAGAATGACACTTCTAAACTTTTGAGGTTGTTGAATATTAAAATGGTAAGCAAATTTTCTCATTATTTCTTGAGTGTATCTATTAATCATATTATAAAGTATAAATGACATGACATTTGTTATCAAATAAAGCTTCCTTAATAAATTCTGTTATCAAAATGGTATTCATTCTTTACATTATACATTCATGTATTATTTGTCAAAGAATTTATTTATTTCATATATTAATGCCTACACATGTAAACTGGTTAAAAGACTGATAAATTTATATTCACAACTAAACAAATGATATAACTGCCAGTAATTAGATTTCATAATAACATAAGTAAATGAAAGAGTTATTCTATTTTAAGCTGTTATTAGTTAAATACTCAATATGTTCTAATCAGTATATAATGAATTAACATTCTAGTAATAAATCATTATTATAAACACCTTTATCACATATATTATAAACAATTTATGTCAATTTGGGAAGACCTAATTGTTTTTCTAATGAATAAAATATGGAACATTTAAAGAAGACATTCTAATTCAATCTTGATATATTTCATTGCCATTTAATCAATAACAAAACGGTCGCGGCCCGGATAGCTCAGTGGTAATGTCTCTGACTGTGAAGCTGGGTGACGTGGAATCGAATCCACCAGGGAGCACCGGTTCCCTTAAGATTACAGGTACACCTTGCTGACGAGTGCCAAGTAGCACGAAACCCGGGTTCGGGGTTTTCTGTCGACTACTTCCAACCACTATCTAATCTCAGAATGAATAGTTCATCATCAAAAAGGTTTCTATTGTAAATGTAAATTAATTCTGTCTCAATAATATTGTTCAATACATTCTAGAATGGATGATAGTTTGTTTTTTCTGCAGTAAATTAAAACATAATGAATGGTATTTAAATTTTTTTCTTTTTAAAAACGAGAACCTACGAAATAAAAATGAATTCATGCTATTCTGCTAGAATCGTTGTTCATGCTATTTTCAAAATGATAAAGGTAATTACGTGTATGTAATTTCTTGCAAAGTATTATGTTTATTATCAGAATGGGTTTTTGTGGATATTATAGTAATCTTAACAGTTGAGATTATGAGTCATTTGAAGCCAGACCACAATAGAAAACCTGAGAATTTGTCACATTGTGGGACTCCTCGGCAATATGTGTTCACGACCCCACCTCGCGAGCTTCGAACTCAGGACCTATCAGTCTTGAGAGCGAACGCCTAACCACTAATGAAGGTTTATTGTTGGAGATGGTATAAACTTGAATAATAAAATAATTAGAAATATAAGGTAACATAATTTAAGTTATATCCTCACTCAATAATGAGTCATTGTAATAATAGTAGACTTAAACAACAGATTAAAAATAATTTTTCATTAAAAATAAATGTTTGATCAGTTAACTTAGCTGATTTTCAAAAATTTGGAGGAGTAATTCCTACTACTAT